CAGCAAGCAATTGACATTCACATTAAAAAGTTCTGAACAGCGGAAGAAGCAACAAGAGGCTGAGAAACTGCACCGACAAGAAGAAAACGCTTCTTCATTCAGCTGGTCACCTGAAGTCAAGACACAGAAGAGGCCTGCTGTTTCATTGAATCTGGAAATGATCCTACATGTGACTCGGAAGGAGCGCTTCTCTCTCAAACTGATCATCCTTGGAGTACATTAACCCAGACAGGGGAACACGTATTTTAAAAGCTCCTTGTAAATCCTTGATACATCTACCCAGGTAAAGATGTGACAACTTGTCCCTATGCCTTACAGGTCAGACTTTGAAACTAGCCCCCCCCCCAACTGGTCAGTGCGTGGCCCCCAGGGTGCTTTATGTAAGTTGTTGCTCCCCATAAACGTTGTCCTCTTCCCTCTGGTTTTAGTCAGGTAAATCAGGATATTGTTTTTTAATGTTATGAAGCCATGAAATGAAAAGTTATCCTGTGCTTAAAAAGGAAGATTGATCATGTTCTGGGAATTTTTTTTCTTGCAATATCTGCTGCCGTTAAACCACCAGAAATACCATTCCTGTTTTACCTTATGTCTATGCATTGGCCATGTTTGTGTTTATAGGTATATGTTGATAGGTTTGTTGCTTGCTTACGTGTTAGTTTGGGATTTTTTCTAAAAATATTTTTATACCAAGAGAATATAATTTAATGGCAATAACATCCTAAAACGAGAAATGGAAGCTACTAGTTATTCTTTTAACTTGGCACAAGATTAAATACAGATTTTTTTCCTGTTTCTTAAGTGCTATTAGAGATAAACTGGCTGGAGAAAACGTTTATAAAAATAAATACTTTCATTTGAACAACAACAAGAAAATATGCTATCCTTAAATATAACTGCTTCAGTTGAATATGAGGAAAATCTAACTCCCCAGTCTGTCACTCCATTAATTATCTGGATTGGTTTGGCATTTGGCTTGTCTGGTTGACATTGTATACACAATGTCTTCCTTGAAGCTGCGTGTTGAAGAGGACCATGGACCCAAATCCTGAAGAACTATTACGCAGCCAGAGTGTCTGTCCTTCCTGCTAGAGCCTGCAGACTAAGCAGGTTGTGTTAATGCAATAACCCAGGTTGGTTGTCTGGGAGGGAAGGGAAGTAGGAAGAAACGACAAGAGAACGGGCTACCATGTTTAGAATCTGTGGGGTTAGGGTGGTCCTCAGGGATTCTCTTCAGCTGTTTAGTTGTTAATTTGTTTTGTTACCTAACACTCTACCTTGAATATATTCCCTAGTCTACAATATATTCTACTACATAATTTTGATGATTGCATATGGTATTGTACCATATGGAGATTACACAACTTTTTAAACCAGCTTCTTCTTCATTTATTTTTCTCTAATATTTCAGTTTTTCAGTCATAAATGTTTTTGAGCAAGCATTTTTATAGATAAATCTTTGAGCGGATGCATAATTATTTCTTAGGATAAATTTCTAAAAGTGTAAATCCTAGATCAAAGAGCAATTTTAAAAATATATGTGGAATCTTTCTCTATAAAGTTTGCATCAATTTACGTTCACTCCAACAGTGTTTGTGAGAAGGTCTGTTTCCCCACTTCTTCACTGATGATGGATATAATCATTCTTTCTAATCTTGACCAACCTGAGAATCAATTAATAATGAGCTGTATTCTTTTTTTTAAAGAAACTATTTGTTTTCCATTACTGTTATTTCCGGCTAAGAGTCCGTGGAAGAACAGCTTAAGACCACTCAGTGGCTGCTCCCACCCATCCAGTGGCCTGAGCAGTGGAGCGGCAGACCAGTCTTCAGTGGCGGGCTGAGTGCTCGTCTTCAGAAGGGAACTCCTGGCCTGCACACAGTCGCACCAGTCTGTGACCTCAGGTTGAGTAGCAGTAAATTCGGGAACTCAAGCAGTCCATTCACCCTGCAATTCCTCCTTTGTCACAGCCTCTGTAGCAGCAGCCTGCTCTTCCTTTTCAATCTCTTCAGGATCTCTGTAGAGGTAGAGACCAGGCATGACCTCCCACGGGTGTTCACGGAAGATGGTGCCATGCCTGCACAGAGCTTCCCAGGCCAGCATTTACCACATCAGACGCGCTGAGTGAGCTCCCTTGCTGCGGGGGATGGCAATGTCCACACGGCGCAGAGGAGAGTCTGTGTTACACAGAGTAACGGTAGGCAGGTCAACATAAGATGCCTCTGTGAAGGGCTGGTGGTCAGCCCTGGGACTATTAACCACCAGAAGTCATGGCTCCCTAAAGTCTGCCTGGACCTGGTTGGTGATGGTTCCAGGAGTGAAGTCACCAGCAATAGGAGTGGCTCCAGTAGCAGCAGCAACCTTCAGCACAGCTCACTGGTCAGTATTCCTGGAGGATAGGACACTGATACCAGCTAGGTCTTCAATGGCACAAGCTGCCAGCAGGAGCTTCTCTCAGGTTCTCTCCAGATTTATGACGTAGATGTCACCATTTTTTCCTTTTGTAGATTCATTCCATTTGAAAGTCAAGGTTGGTGCCACCTATGTGAGTTCCTGCTGCAAAGAATTTGAGGACATCCTCCTCCTCTATTTGCTGGACATCAGGGGCTCCAGACATTGTGAAAGTTCCCCTTTAAGTCACGGCAGGAACCCAGAACAAAACTGTATGGAGCCCTCTCTGGGGAGCACATAAAGGTAATGAGTTGTATGTTAATTTGCATGTTTATTATTATCAGCTTACAAATTTGTTCATAGGTATTGTCTGTTTGTATTTCTTCATTTGTGAGTTACCATTTGATGTTTTCCATTTTTTCTTTGGAGACTCTGTCTTTTGCTTGGCATTGTTGCAATGCCTTACGTAATTGCAAGCATCCCTTATGTAGTAGCTAATTTAAATAGTAATCACTCAAACATAGCAAATATACTTTCTCAGTTTTGAGTTTCTTTTTAAAATTTTTAAAGAGTATTTAACAAGCAGCTTTTATTTATATTTTTATAGTTTGAGGGCAAAAATGAGGTATTGAAAATAGATTTTCAGGAAAACGAATCCAGCAGATGTAGGCAGGCTTGTTTAGACGGGGGAAGCTCAGTTAGGACACCAGTTCATAATCAAAAAGTGAAACAAGGATCTGCAGGCAGCAGCCAGAGGTGGAAACACAGCGTAAGGAATAGCTGTCAGATGCAGTGTAAGGGAAGAATGGCGAGATTGGTTCAGTGTAGGATCTAAAGAGATGTAAGAGTCACAGACGATTCCAAAGTTAGAGACTGAGAAAAATGGACCAGTGCTAGAAATGTAAACATTGGCATGCTGTTCCTTTGTTCCTCTCTTGGTTTGTTTTGTTTGATTTTGAATAAACTGAGTTTAAGGTGACAACCATCTACATGTACGAACACTGAAGAGCTCTTAGAAATTTTTTTCTACCGCCTCTTTGATCAGCATTTTGAGAACCAAGTTCATGCTTTGTTCTATTTTTTTATTTAACCAGTATTTGTGTTGTCAGCTAGTGGCCACCAGGTAAAGAGGATTTTCTCAGTCTTCCCTCTAACTTCCTACTTTGGTTGTGATAATCCTCATGTCCCACGTTGGTCCGGGGTCATAGGTGAGTGGTTGCAATTGTCTGCTGTGACATGAGACCCTGGTATCTGATCTGCTCCTGTCCCTGCCCCTCCGCTTCTGAGTCAGCAGCCACGGCCATATCTAAGCTCAAGTTTAGTCCATGTATGGAATCATGGGCAATGGCAAATGGCTTCACCCATCGGGGAGTGGAGAGAGAAAGACTGAGTGACCAGATTCAAGGAGGTCTAGGGGAGAGGCATGGGGATGGACGTATGAGAGTGGGCACCAACTGTGAGAACAAGGAGCACTGATACGCTGCCGTCTCTGAGTAGAGGAATGCGACACTCTTTATGAAAGGTTGTCACAGGAATCTCGTAGAGGGGAGTCTCCGGTACTTTCTCTGCTCATCTGACAACCCCACATCCACAACTCCAAAAATACAAAGATCTCTGACATCTAACAGTTATTTTCCTTTTTGCAAACTTATTTGTCAGCAGAAATTTACTTGAACTAACATGAGGATATTTATAGTTTTAATTATTCATTTTTTAAAAAATTGAGATATAATTGATATATAACATTATATTAGTTTCAGATAAACAACATAATGAGTCAATATTTGTATATATTGCAAAATGATCACCACAATACATCTAGTTAACATCCATCAGCACACATAGTTACAATTTTTTTTCTTGTGATGAGAACATTTAAGATCTACTCTTGTAGCAACTTTCAAATACACAAATACATTATATCCCATGACTTACTTGTCTTATAGCTGGAAGTTTTTTCCTTTTGACTCCCTTACCCATTTCACTCACCTCCCACCCCCCGTCTCTGGCAACCACCAATCTGTTCTGTATCTATGAATTCAGTTTTATTTTTTAGATTCCACATATAAGTGAGATCATATGGTATTAATCTTTTTCTGTCTGATTTATTTCACTTAGCTTAATGCCCTCAAGGTCCATTCATGATCCATGTCATCACAAATGGCAGGATTTCATTTTTTTTATGGCTGAATAATATTCGTGTGTTTGTGTGTGTGTGTATCACATTTTCTTTACCTGTTCATTCACAGATGCATACTTAGGTTGCTTCCATATCCTGGCCGTTATAAACAATGTTGCAATAAACATGGGAGTGCAGATATCTTTTTGATTTAGTGTTTTTGTTTCCTTCAGATAAATACCTAGAAGTGGGATTGCTGGATCATATGGTAGCTCTATTTTTAATTTTTCGAGGAACCTCCATACTGTCTTCCATATTGGCTGCACCAATTTACATTCCTACCAACAGTGCATGAGGGTTCCCTTTTCTCCACATTCTCTCCAACACTTGTTATTTCTTGTCTTTTTGATAATAGCCATTCTAAGAGGTGTGAAGTGACATCTCATTGTGGTTTTGATTTGCGTTTCTCTGATGATTAGTGATGTTGAGCGCCTTTTCATGTTCCTGTTGGCCATCCGTATATCTTCTTTGCAAAAATGGCTCTGCCTATTTTTTAATTAGATTGTTTGTTTTTTTGCTTTTGGGTTTTATGAGTTCTTTATATATTTTGGAGATTAACCTCTTATCGGATATATGACTTGTAAATATCTTCTCCTACTCAGTATGTTGTCTTTTCATTTGGTTGATTGTTTCCTTTGCTGTGCAGAAGCTTTTCAGTTTGATATTGTTCCACTTGTTTATTTTTGGCTTTGTTGCCTTTGCTTTTGGTGTCAAATCCAAAAAATCATCACAAAGATCAATGTCAAGGAGTTCACTGCCTATGTTTTCTTTTAGGTGGTTTATGGTTTCAGGTCTGATATTCAAATCTTCAATCTATTTGAGTTAATATTTGTGTATGGTGTAAGATAGTGATCCATTTTGATTCTTTTGCATGTGGCTGTCCAGTTTTTCAAACATCATTTATTGAAGAGACTGTCCTTTCCCCATTGTATGTTCTTGGCTTCTTTGTTGTAAATTAATTGACCATATAGGTGTGGGTTTATTTCTGGGCTCTCTATTCTGTTCCAGGGTTTTTTTTTTTTTTTTTTGTGAGGAAGATCAGCCCTGAGCTAATATCCATGCCAATCTTCCTCTTTTTGCTGAGGAAGACTGGCCCTGGGCTAACATCCGTGCCCATCTTCCTCTACTTTATATGGGACGCCGCCACAGCATGGCCTGACAAGCAGTGCGTCGGTGCGCACCCGGGATCCGAACCCGGGCCGCCAGCAGTGGAGCGCCCGCACTTAACCGCTATGCCACGGGGCCGGCCCCCCATTCTGTTCCAGTTTTAATTATTGTTAATAAAACCAATAAACTAAACAGCCCAAATGATACATGGCTTTCCAGCACAATAAGGATTACAATGGTGAGAAGAGCATCCACATTACTAAGAATGTAGGTAACATTTCCATTTTCTGGCTAAGAGTCTGCGGAAGAACAGCTTTCTCATTACAAATGTGTATTTGCCAAGGAATGGCTTTCTTAAATTTCTATATTTTTTTCTATAATATGTCTATATTTTATTTAAAAATAAAAATTAGCAAGTTATCCTCCACTAACAGCTCAGGATTATTATATAAAGTTTTCTCATTGACATATCACAGAAATTGCTTGGTGAGAATAGAGAGTAATCACTAGAATGATCCCAACTAATAATTAGAATTATATATTTTATCTAAATTTCTCCTAAAGATTATTTCCATGTAAACATTATGGTTTTCGAAGTGTTCTCTGGCATTATAGCTCCATCAAGTGGTAAAATTGACATGAAGCTTTCAGGTTAATTTTCATACTAGAATTTCTATCAATGCTGTATTTATAACCAATTATCGCCTTGTTTCAAAGCACACACTGAGCCATTTTCACTTTGGAAAATCTAATGATTTTGTTTATGGACAGAGATTCAGTATTGAGACTTTTTTGGTATGGAAACTCAAGAATCACATTTTCCTACTGTTTATAATTTGATTCCTTGAATATCTTTAAATTACCATTTGCTACCGGACATACTATTGTTGGGCCTCAGGTCCTCACTGACTTTTGGCCAGAGACATCAGTTCCTTACCAGCCAGGCCTCTCTATGCGGCTGCTCACAACACGGCATCTTGTTTCCCTCTCAGAGCAATGGATCTAAGAGAGAAGGAGAAAAAATAATGGAGGAAGAGCGAAAGAGAAGTCACAGTCTTTTTGTGACCTAATCTCAGAGGTGACATCCCGTCACTTTTGTTGTTTTTTCTATTCATTAGAAGTGAGTCAGTAGGTCCAGCCACACTCAGGGAGAGGGTTATGCTACAGCATGAACCCCAGGAGGCAGGGACCCTGGGGGCCATCTCAGAGGCTGCCTACCACAAGTGCTTTCCTAAAATAAGTGTACAACCTCTGAAACCCTCATACTTCATAAAAATTCAAATATATTACCCTTCACTCACAGAATCTAATAATTTTATTATTAGTAATGGAGTTTGCTATGATCCGGGTAGTATTCCAAATGTTACCCACCTATTTACTCACTAATTGTTAACTCTCTAATCCTGTAACAACCCTATAAGGGAAGTACTATTATTATTCCCATCTGACAGATGAGGAAACTGAGGCACAGAGAAATTAAGTAATTTGTCAGGATTTGAAAATGGCCATCTGGCTCCAAGGAGAATATAAAGTTTAACACGATTTCTATTTGCCATACAACAGAAATTGTAAATTGAAAATGAGAAACACCATTGAAAATAGAAGTGAAGACAGAATCTTAGCAAAGATTCTCAGCTCCCATTGCTTAGGTGGGTACATCCTGTGACGCACATGCCGTGACCCAGCTTCTGCTCTGCCTGCAATAGTCCTGGTTTAGGCCGATTTCCTGGTATAATTGTTAATATTGATTCTTTCACCTCCAAAAGTGTCCAGATCTGGATGACAAATTATATGATAACTCTAAATATAAGGCTGTCAAAGTATTCCAACACGTCTGAAGAATACCACACATTTCATTATTAGAGAAAATTTAATCTTCCGTCACACCTCCAAGTGATTCTGACGCGGCCCTAAGTGTTGATTATCTCTGTTTTAGATGGTGAAAACTGTAAGAACATTAATGGTAAAATAATATCACAGTGTAGTTTGTCTCGGTTATGGAGCAGCAGAAATCATTTATCTAGCTCCCACACATATGTGGAGGCAGAAACTCAAATACGGTGAAAAATTAATTATAATAATACCAAGTTGTTTTAGAACTTATCTATCATTTTGTCCTTTATAAATACAATATAAAACATGGGTCTGGTAAATTGATTAATTTTATCAGTAAAAAATATCCAAACTGGATAGATTATACTCCAAGATTTACTTAAAAAATTATTTTAGGCTTCCTATGTTTAAGTTGTTAAGCAGGTAAATGCCTACATCATTTATAAAATACATTCATTTTTAGAAGTGATAAGGACTAAACAGATTAAAAATTGTCAAAACATATGTTACAAAGCAAACGTATAGAAAAGAACTAAGAACATGCGAATTTCCAGATAATGCCTTAGCCCAGGGAAAGGTTGTTCTTTGACCTTTAGCCAGAAGAGGGCATTACGTGACTGCCTTATAATGGTGTGTTAGTATATATTTTTAAATTTTAAGACTAGATCTGTGAAGAAAAAGTCATGAATCATAGCATCCAAAAACTATACACTGAAATCTTTTAATGAAAATAATTTTCCAAATGATTCTGCTTAAAGTATTCAGCTTTCTTTCTATCTGAGAATTTAATAAACATTACTTCATTATATTTATGGTCACTGTTTTATTACAACAAAGGGTTTAAGATGGAGAGGGATCATTCATTGTTAAAGCTTAAAGGATCCCTATTTTAAGTTCTTCATTTTATAAGTGATACAACTGAAGTTCAGAGATGTTGTGTGGCATGCCTGAGAGCCCCCGGGGCTGGCACTGTCATCTGAGACTGAGGTCTCCTCTAAATGCCGCTCTCAGACCCTTTCTTCTGTAGTCTCCAGCTCACCATCACATCAGAGCAGCACCCTGAACACAAAACCACAGGGCTTCCTGATTCATGTCAGAACTTCCAGCAGCACTGGCAGCACCAGAAAAAGTAGCAACTCATTCCCAAATATTGAAGTTAATACAACTTAAATATAAACATTTCATTATGACACTACTTAAGAAATGTTTCCAGTAAAACAGTTCTCTCCTTTTCAAAGTGAAATCAAAATGCTCCCCAGGGAAAGAGGGACTGCACAAAAGAAAATAGCAAAACCCTGCACTGGTCTTCCTGCTGGCCCAGGTAATGTCAGTCTCTGGTCACAAAGTGATAGCATTACAGAACTAGAACACTGGCAATCAGATTGTCTCTCTTATTTATAAATGTTTTATAAATGAAGAATCTAAGGCCCTTGGAGGTTAAATGATTGGCTCAAGGGCACAAACCTGGCGAGTGATAGAAGTGGTGGATCACTTCAGGTCTGTGGAAGGCAGAATTCTACGATGACCTTCTCCCCTGGTGTTGCTCTTGTAATTAAATTACCTTAAGAGGCAAAAGGGATTTTGCTGATACAATTAATGTTACTAATCAGTTGACCTTAGAAGAGGGAAATTATCTAGGTGGGCTTGACTTAATCACATGAGACCTCTAAAGAAGGCTAATTTTCTCCAGCTGTGGGCAGAAGAGGACATCAGAAATTTTCCAAGTATAAGAGGGATTGGACGGGAGGAACAAATGTTCTCCGTTGCTGAGGTGGAGGGGCCAGGCGGTGAGAGACGCAGAGACTGAGAGCTGCCCGCAGCTGACAACAGGGAAGGAAACGAAGACCTATAACTTCAAGTAACTGAATTCTGCCGATAATATAAATGAATTTGGAAGTCGACTCTTCCCCAGAACATCCAGATAAGAGCCAGCCCCAGCCAGCACCTTGATTTCAGCCTCTTGAGACCCTAAGCAGGGAACCCAGTCGAGCCCACGTGAAATTCTGACCTGGAACTGTGAGATAATAAATGGATGTTCTTTTCAGCTGTTAAATTTTAGTACTTTGGTGCATAGCAGTAGAAAACTAATATTGAGTCTAACCTGAAAACAGAAAGCATTTGAGATTTTAAGACAGACAGACTTCAACGTAAGGCTTTTGTTACATAAATGATGGAAGAACAGAGAAGCTAAATGGAAGACAGGAGGCAACTCTGATTAGCAGCTGCAGAAAGCTACCACCACCCGCAGGGCAGAGGGATGGTGGGCAGTGAGTTACCAAAGTCCAGGGGTTGGAGTCACACAGAAGTTGGAACCACAGCTGGCTGTCCAGGGGGCACTGAGCCATTGGATGAGCTGTGGTAGCTCCAGACACAGCCTGAGGCACAGAGAGGGGCGTGTCTTCCTTCTCGGCACCCTCCAATTGTTCACTTGTGCCTCCATTGGCCAGACCCTGCTGGACGCTGGCTGATACCGGGCCTGAGAAAGACAGCCTGCAGAGGGCAGC